TTCTCAGATGGTGTCACTCTCCCATGACAGCCACACTTTGAAAAATGTCAGACCTGCATACAATCCTGCACCTGCTTGCACTACTTGCTTATACCATACCTGATCTTCACTCCTCTATTGAGATGCAATAGTGAGGGCCTGGCTTCAGCTGCCAGAGCTGAGCTCAGTCCCACCTGTGAGCTCTGTGACTGATCAGGTCAAGACATCTCTCTCGAATGCAGCATCAACCTCAGGCTGCAGCACTGAGGGTCAGACACTAACCCGGCCTTCAGCTGCCCTCTCCTGCCTCCTCAGGGCCCACGCTCCCCGTGGCAGTACAAGCTTCTGGAGAACATGCTGTGATCTTTCTCAGCCTCAGGCTGCTTCCCTCTGGCACAAGGCTGACTTTTGTTCATCTTCAGATGGCAGAGTAGCTCTTGCTGGCTCTGGGAAGATGGGCAGGCTGCTGGCTGCCTTCAGTGCCAGTTTTCCCTCTTCCTCTTCTCCAGCTGGTGTTTGTCTGGACACTTGATTTTGTAAATTTCCTTGTAGGTAGCTGTGACTTCGTGGCAAAAGTTTGACCAATGAAATGCCAAGTAATAGTGTGGCAGTTTTTGAGAACAGTATATAAAAAGGGTACTGGTAGGGATGGCACAATGGCATAGTAAGTTAAGGATCTGCCTGCAGAACCATCATCCCACATGGGCACTGATTCACATGCAAACTTCCCCACTTCCCATCCAGCTCTCTGCATATGGCCTGGGAAAGCAGAGGGGGATGGCTCGAGTCCTTGGGAGCCTGCATCCACGTGGGAGACCCGGAAGAATATCCTGGCTCCTGGTTTCGGATAGCTTTGGACATTGTGGCTATTTAGAGAGTGAATCAGAGAATGGAAGATCTCTCTCTCTCCTGTTTGAAATAAAAATAAAATCTTTTTGTTTTAAAAGGGATACTTGCATGAAGATCTTTATCCTTTGCCACTTTCTGTTTTGTGTATTCCTCCTTCCTGACTGGATTGAAGACACGATGGCTGGAACTACAGCAACTACTTGGGGACTAACAGACACTTAGGTGTGTGCCAGAACTGTTATGTCAGACCCACCTCCAGACCTCTGCCAGGATGAAAGGAACATCTATTTTGGAGGTGCAAACATCTATTTAGGGGTCTTACTCTCAGTCAAACCTGATTGCTGAGCTCTGCCTGGCTGCTCCCACCTGAGTCAGCTGCACCTCCTTGGAGCTCCCTGCACTTTACAACCTGAGGTTACCTATGCATGCAACTTCCTCCCTGCTGGCAGGGTCTCTGCTGGTTCTGTTCTCCTGCCTTTGCTTGGAGTGTAATAGATGTTTGGAAGAAGAACAAACAAATGTGTGTGGGTTGAATGCAAACACTATTGCCCATCTTTTGTTGCCTTGCAGGTCAAAAGAAAAAAAAAATGGCTATAAACCCTTCTTTGCCTGCCTCCATCCTCTTGGCCAGGGTGGCCACCTTGCCGCTGCCCTCTCTTAAGTTGCTTTGTTACCCTTCCCTCTGGGTTCAGAAGGTTGCACATTGCCAGGGTTAGGACCATCTGAGTGTCCATGTCCATCTGATCGTAAGGACACTCTGTTCTTGCACACACACCCTGGCTCCCTAGGTGGATGGAACAGCACAAACCAAGGCACCGAGACACGGCAAGCCCTCTGTAGTCTGATATGGTTGAAGGAGGGGGTCGGCTGCTCTTCCAAACAAGAGGCTGGGGTCCCATTATGTCTAATCCTAGGAGAGGCTGGGATATTTCTGCATTTGTTGCTGTTCTTTTTCCCAGTTACTAAATGATCACCAACCTTTGTGCTTCACCTTCTCTACCACCACCTCACCTTTTAAGCATTTGTTTGAGGGCTGACATGACGGCGGCAGTATCCCAATTGGATGGTAATTCACACCCCAGCTGCTCTACTTCTGATCCACCTCCCTGCTTATGGCCTGGGGAAACCGTGGCAGATGGTCCAGGTGCTTGGATGCCTGCACCCATGTGGGAGAACTGGGAGCAGCTCCTGGTTCCCAACTTTGCATCAGCCCAGCTATATTTGTTATGGCCATTTGAGGAGTGAATCAGCACATGGAAGACCTCTTTCACTCTTCTTTTTCTGTAACTCTTTCAAGTAAAATAGATAAATCTTTTAAAAATTATTTGAAAAGGAGAGAGATATAGAGATAGATATTCCAGTTCTTGGTTCACTCCCTACATGGTGCTAATGATCAGAGCAGGGCCAGTCTGAAGCCAGCAGCCAGGAGCTTCTTCTAGGTCTCCCACATAAGTGCAGGGGCCCGAGCACTTGGGCGATTCTTCGCTACTTTCGCAGGCTGTCAGCAGGGAACTGGATTGGAAGTGGAGCGGCTGGGATGTGAATCACCACGTATGGGATGTTGGTGCTATAGGTGGTGGTTTATACCTTGCTACGCCATGGTCCTGGCTCCATGTGTTTCATCTTTATAGCACTAAGAAATAGTACTGTTATGGTCTTTAACTACTAAAGAAAATTTTTATCTGTTCATGTTTTTAGCTGTAGTAGTACAACATTACTACAACATCTATGCCCGTACAATATCATAAATCACCATTGTAGTAACAGAATGCCTATGAAACTATATATGTTCTTTTCCGGAAAAGTGGTATCTGTTTTTCTGGGATGAGAACTGGGTTCTTGGGCAGTCAGTGGGATGGGTTCCAGGGAAATCCTGCGGTATGCACTGTTGACCCACAGTGTCAGCCACCTCATATTCACCAAGTCCTGCAAATGCCCGGGACAGGGCTGGACAGCCTTGGTGACAACACTCTTGACCTTGAGAAACTCCTAGTTTATTCACTGTGAGGTATGTACAGTATGCCAGTAGGAGGTGGGAAGAGCTGCCTGGAATCGCTTAGTGTAAAATAGGAGCCACGAGATGGAAATGAAACAAGGAAGCAAAAGAGGCAGGATCTGGCTTCAAACAGCCAGGACACGCCCTGAAAACCCCTGCCCGATGGTATTAGCATGCCAAAGCCCTGCTTACATCTTCGGGAATCCAGAACCTTGTGGGGTAGTGTGTGTGTGTGTGTGTGTGAGAGAGAGAGAGAGAGAGAGAGAGAAAGAGAGAGAGAGAAAGAAGGGGGTGGAAGACAATGACCAGGCTTATACTGTAGGAACAGTTGGGGTTGGTCACAGAATTTCTTTAAATTCAGAATGGTGAACAGGCGTAGGCTCCAGAAATATCTGAATTTGAGATTTTGACAAAAACTTTGTTCCAGCAGCCCACTGGATATATATCGAGCATTCACTGCTTCGCATTTTGTTTCTCCCACTGGGGATATGGGGAGAGCAAGGTAGGAGAGGTGGCGAGCTAGGCTAAGCACATATGTTTTTAGCTATAGTAGTACAACATGTAAAGAAAAGTGGTAAAGGCCTCTCCACGGACGGGGAGGTGGATGCTGCATAAGCCTGGAACTGAGAGAGGAGTGGCAAGTGCAGACAGGAGCCTGGGAGCTTGGGAAAATATGTTACCAGAAATGCCCGGTGAGTTCTTTCCTCAGCTCAGCATAGAAATAAAAAGCCAGCAATCTGCTGCAAACAGAAAAGTTTATTTGCAAAGGGACCAGGGGAGCAGGGAAGGGAGGGAAGGGGAAGCACCTCCAGAAAGGAAGCTGGGAGGTGGGGTGCCTCTCGAAAGGGGAGGGAGAGAGAGACACCAAAGGTTTGAGGAAGGTTTGGGATTTAAGCCTTCCTTGACCCCTCCTTGTTGGGCGAGGAACCCACAGGTCAGATGTTCCCCATGGTGGTCTCTTAATTAATTAGGAAATGGGTGGGCAATGCTGGTGCCGCCCACCTGAAGGTGTGGCCAAGACCTCAGCAGGCCTGGATGGTCTCAGTGGGGAAGGCGAGGGCACAGACAGGAGGGGCGAGCTGTCTACCTCCTGGAGCAGAGCGTGCTGACAGAGCATCAGGGTGCCCAGGTTCCAGTGCTGGCTGTGCTTCGCACAGAGCCTCCGTCAGTGAACACCCTGGGAGGCAACAGCTGGGGTCTCGTGCTCATGAGCCGCTGCACCAATGTGGGAATCCCAGACGGAGTTCTTGGCTCTGGGCTCCCAAAAGATTGGCCCAGCCTGGGCTCCTGGCAGGCAGATGGGCAGTGAACCAGCAAATCTGTTTCTCCATCTCTGTGCCTTTGAAATGAAAACAAAAAACCAAAAACTGGGCGGTGTGGTGGTGGTGGTACAGTGAGTCAAGCCACAGTCTATGGTGCTGGCATCCTGAGTCCTGGCTGCTCCACTTGTGATCCAGCTCCCTTCCTGTGGCCTGAGAGGGCAGCGGAGGAAGGCCCAAAGCTTTGGGCGCCTGCATCTGCTCAAATCACATCTTCAAAAAAAATGGACGAGTGGAAATCTACTTAGTAAAGAAAAGTGGTAAAGACCTCTCCACGGACGGGGAGGTATGCATGAGCCTTGAGCTGAGAGAGGGGTGGCAGGTGCAGACGGGAGCTTGGGAGTCCCACTTGTCAGAGCGCCAGGAGCACCGGGTGCTGCGACAAGGCCGGGCACCCGGAGGCCAACAGGACTTCAGGGCAGACAGGCGTTTGCCAGCACGCGGGGCAACGTCCTCAGCTCGCTCCCCGCTGGCACAGAGCGGGCAGCGCGTTCCCGGGATGCCCAGGGAGCCGGAAGGCCGCGTCACAAAGGGCCTGGGAGGACAGCCCGTGTCCGCCCGGGAGAGGGCGGCAGGCGGGCGCCACCGCACCGTGGGCGCGCGGCGCCCTCTGCAGGCCGCGAGCGACGACTCGGCGTGCCTTCCTTCCTCTTCCCGCCTTCCGCAGCGCACGTTGTTTTTCGGTCGCTGCGTTCAATGTCCTCCCGGGTAGGCTGCCAATAAAGTTTTTTTTTTTTCCCCCTCTCTCTCCTCGCTCCCAGGAAACCCCGCCTCTTTTCAAGCAACGCGAGATCTGGCAGCTGCCATGGCGGCCGCGTTTGAAGCCGGGGTGGCTGAGGCGACGGAGGAGGAGAGCGTGATGCCGGCTGAGGAGAGCGCGGTGGCGGCCGACGAGAGCGCCATGCCGGCCGAGGGGCCGAGCGCCCGGCCCGCGCGGAGCCTGCGGACCGCTCACGACCTCGGCGGCCCTCGGGCCCGCACCGGGGACGTGCTGTTGGCCGAGCCGGCGGACTTCGAGTCGCTGCTGCTGTCGCGGCCCGTGCTGGAGGGGCTGCGGGCGGCGGGCTTCGAGCGACCCTCGCCGGTGCAGCTCAAGGCCATCCCGCTGGGGCGCTGCGGGCTCGGTGAGTCGGGCGGGCCGGGGCCGGGGGGCTGGGGGCGGCGGCAGGGCCGGTCCCCGGGTGGGCTCCGCGCGGCCTTCCCTCCGCTGGCGGTTAACCGGTTTGTGAAGTTCTGTTGGGGATGGCTGGGGGCTCTTCTGGGCTTGACGAGGTCAAGGGACGAGGCTCAGGCCCCGACTGGGTCTCTGGAGGTGGCCGTCCCAGGGCCCAAAGACCACCGACCCAAGGGGCCGGGTTCGATTCCTCCCTGGAACATTCTCCGCTTCCGTCTGTACGGGCATGCCTCTACTTTCCCTTCTTTTCTCAGATTTGATTGTTCAAGCTAAATCTGGCACTGGGAAAACCTGCGTGTTCTCCACCATTGCCTTGGACTCGCTGATCCTGGAAAACCTAAGTACCCAGGTGAGCTTAGCTCAGAGTGCGGAGGGGAGGAGGGCATGCAGTGGGGGGCACTTCACCGCCCCTCATCCCCAGGCAGGGAAGGGAAGTTGGTGAAGAGTTGTTGAAGCTCCACCAGGGGCCCCCAGGAAAGTGCCAAGGTGGAGGCTGTGGAGTGGTGGTGCGGATAGGGAATTTGCTGCTGCAACTGTGGTCTTGAAGACTTAGTCAGTTCTATGCCTCAGGAGGGAAAAGAATCTAGGCTGTGGTGATACAGCATCTGGCTTGATTCAGGATAATGGGGTGCTGTGTAGATAGCCAAAGATGGGTGGTTTGCAAAGCACTGTGAAGATATTTTCTTGGTCTTCCTTCTTCTAGGTTGCCTTGGAAAAAAAATATATGTATGAAATATATACATGAAATATATATGTATATATATTTGCTATAAAGATTTATGTATTTTTGTCGGAAAGTCAGATTTACAGAGAGGAGAGAGGCAAAGAGAAAGATTTTCCATCCACTGGTTCATTTCCCCAAGGGGTTGCAATGGCCAGTGCTGAGCTGAAGACAGGAGCCAGGATCCTTGAGCTTCTTCTGAATCTCCCACATGGGTACAGGGTCCCAAGGCTTTGGGCCATCCTCTACGGTTTTCCTAGACTACAAGCAGGGGGCTGGATGGGTAGTGGAGCAACTGGGACACTAACCAGCGTCCATATGGGATGCTGGTGCATCAAGGCCAAGCATTAGCTAATGGAGCCCTCATACTAGCCACATTCATTTTTTTAAAGTAGAAGAGTTACGTGTTATGAAAGCTAAACAGTTCTCCTTGTGTGTGTTCATCAAATTAATATATATTTATTTTTGTGAGCAGGTAGGGTCAGTGTAGGGGTGGCGTTGTGATGCAGTAGGTTAAGCTGCCACTTGCAGAGCTGACTGACATTCCTTGAGTCCCTGTTCCACTTCCCATCCAGCTCCCTGCGTATGTAGCTAGGAAAGCAGCAGCAGATGATCTAAGTGCTTGGACCCCCTGTACCAGACGGGACCTGGATGGAGTTATCTCCTGGCTTCAGCCTGGCCATCGGCCTTAGCAGCCGTTTGGGGAATGAACCAGAGGATGGAAGTTATTTCCCGTCTGAACCACTTCTGTAATTCTGCCTTTTTTCCCCCGTTTACCTGTTTTTCTTTTCCCTGTTTTCTCATCATTCTTTTCATTACCTGCTGTGAGTTTCCCTGCTATATGTTTGTTGTAAATTTTATTGTCCAAGAGTGAAGGTACCAAGAACAGACTGTGTTGTCTTAGCTTGAGGTAGGATGCTCATTAAATAATTAGCAAATAAATGATATTTTCCCAAGTCATTGAAAAACTCATATTTTAAAAAGATTTGTTTGTTTGAAAGGCCGAGTCAGAGAGGGAGAGACACATGGAATGAGATTTTTTTCAAAGATTTATTTTGTTGGAAAGTCAGATTTACAGAGAGGATGAAAAGATCTTCCGTCTGCTGGTTCACTCCCCAAGTGGCCACAGTGGCCAGAGCTGACCTGATCCAAAGCCAGGAGCCAGGAGCCCCCTTCAGGTCTCCCATACAAGTGCAGGATCTTAAGGCTTTCGGCTGTCCTCAACTGCTTTTCTAGGCCACAAGCAGGGAGCTGGAAGGGAAGCGGGGAAGCGGAATATGAACCTGAGCTCATAAAGGTTCCTGATGTATGCAAGGCGAGGATGTTAGTTGCTAGGCTGCTGCACTGGGCCCAAGAACAAGATCTTCATCTGCTGTCTTGCTCTCTAAACGGCCACAGCATCCAGGGCTGGGCCAGATCCCAGCTAGCATCTCGGAGGTTCATCTGGATCTCCCACAGGGTGCAGGGGCACAAACACTTGGGCCCTTTTCCACTGCAGGGAGCTGGATGGGACGTGAGTAACCCAGGACTGCACTTGGGGCACATGTGGGTCACTGATACCACAGGCGTTGGCTTAGTTTGTAATGCCACAGCCCCAGCCGCAAAGTGTCATCTTTAAACAACAGTGCGTCGTATCAACATGTGCTTAGTGTATGTGTATTTTGCTCTGATGCGAATTTCCTTGGATATTTTACTTTTTTTTTTTAGATTTTGATCTTGGCTCCTACAAGAGAAATTGCTGTACAGATACATTCTGTTATCACAGCCATTGGGATAAAAATGGAAGGTTTAGAATGTCATGTCTTTATCGGAGGGACCCCATTATCACAGGACAAAACCAGACTTAAAAAGTGTCATATTGCTGTTGGATCTCCTGGTAAGATGGCCATGTCCACTGCTAATTGAGGCTTTCAAGGAACTGTATGTTTTAAATATCACTCAGATGTAATAGTGTTTGGAATTGTTCTGATTACTAATTACTTTGATTGGAAATTAAGAACATTGTACTAGTGTGATGACTGAAGTGACGGGGTTTATGAGTCTCCATTTCTGAGAATGTTTGGAAACACAAATGGGCAATTATGAGAAGAAATGAGATGGCGTAAAGGCAGCTCTGGGCTGGGGCTGTTCTGTGGCTTCCTGACCTTGCCCAGGATTTGGTTAGAATCTGCCTTTATGTTGTTGGTAACAAAGCTGTTTGTTTTCCGTACTTAACTATTGTTGGTGTTGTTACATGACATAAAAATCATGGGCTTAGATAAACTAAAACCCAAGATTTCTAATTGTGGTTTGGTATGTAAATGTACAATACAAATTAATTCAGGAGATTCAGCGGTACAACCCGTGAAAAAATAGAGTAAAACATGGGCTGAGATTTATAGAAATTTGGCACATCGTAAGTATTTCAATATTTGTTTCCTGGAATTTAGGCCGAATTAAGCAGCTAATAGAACTGGACTACTTGAACCCAGGCAGTATACGTCTCTTTATTCTTGATGAAGCAGACAAACTTTTAGAAGAAGGCAGCTTCCAGGAGCAAATAAAGTAAGAAAAATAAATAACAATGACAGTGGTACCCAGAAGTGTTCGCTTTTAGCTGTTCAGGCTGTGCTTACTGTTAAATAGTCTCTGAGCTGTGTATGTGTCTTCTCTGTCGCAGCTGGATTTATTCTTCCTTGCCTGCCAGCAAGCAGATGTTGGCTGTTTCAGCTACTTACCCGGAATTTCTGGCCAATGCTTTGACGAAGTACATGAGGGATCCCACTTTTGTAAGACTGAATTCCAGTGACCCAAGTCTTCTAGGTATGTACAGGTTTTGAGTACTTAACATTATTTTTTGAACTTAGCTAATTTGGGAGGCAGAGTGATGGGGAGAAACAGAAATCGCAGCCTGCTGGTTTCTTGTTCAGGTGGCTGTAGCAGCCAGGACTGTGCTAAGCTAAAGCCAGGAGCCGGGAACTCTGGTCCTCCCCATGGGGGGGTGGGACTCAAGGACTTGAACCCTTGCAAATTTCCCCTGGTGGGAAACAGAGTAGATGGGACTCCCATCTGGCCATCTGATGGGTGATGCAGCATCCTGAGTGCTGGTGTGACCTGCTGCACCGCAGTGCCCATGCCTGCCTGCTTCATGATTACTGCTAGGAGATAACAAATATATGTGATTGATGACTCGATTTCTTCATAGGTCTGAAGCAGTATTACAAAGTTGTCAATGCGTACCCTTTGGCTCATAAGATTTTTGAGGAAAAGGTTCAGCATTTGCAGGAACTGTTCAGCAGAGTTCCGTTTAATCAAGCCTTAGTCTTCTCTAATTTGCATAGCAGGTAATGTGACGTGGAGGAGCAGCTGGGGGAGGGAGCCTGTGGGGCAAGATTTGTAAAGTGACAAGCCTTGGTTTTCTTTCTGTAGAGCACAACACTTGGCTGACCTCCTTTCTTCTAAAGGCTTTCCTGCTGAGTGCATTTCAGGTAAGTTCCTCTTTTACTTTAATCTTTTTTCAAGTTTTGGAGGAGGAAATATCTCCCCCCCTTATTTTAGTAGAAAAGAACATAGGTGTTTTTTCTTTTTTCAGAAAAAAATTTTTTTAAAGATTTATTTATTTTTATTACAAAGTGAGATATACAGAGAGGAGGAGAGACAGAGAGGAAGATCTTCCATCCAATGATTCACTCCCCAAGTGACCTCAACGTCCGGAGCTACGCCGATCCAAAGCCAGGAGCCAGGAACCTCTTCCAGGTCTCCCCACGTGGGTTCAGGGTCCCAAGGCTTTGGGCCATCCTCAACTGTCTTCCTAGGTCACAAGCAGGGAGCTGGATGGGAAGTGGAGCTGCCGGGATTAGAACTGGCGCCCATATGGGATCCTGGCATGTTCAAGGCAAGGACTTTAGCCATTAGACCACCGCACCGGGCCTGAGATTTATTTTTTAATAAAGACTGTTATTTCTATGAAGAACTTAATTATATGAACCAAAGTTTGTCTTTGTTGTCTTACAAGAGGAATATCTTTCTTTACGTAGTAATTGTGAAAGTGCTAAGAATTGTTAGCTGAATTAACTTTTATAGTGTGGAAGGCAAAATTAATTCAGCTCTTGTGTTCTTCCAACAAAGTTAAATTATTACTGCCGGCTTAATGGGAATGAAAGACTTGAAGGAATTATTGGTCTGAGATCCTTTAAGATGGAGCTATTCTCTCTGCTGCCACTCCGACAGCCAAGGCTGGGCCAGATGAAAGCCATGAGCCTGGAATCCACCCAGGTCTGCCATATGGCAGGGATCCATGTGTTGAAGTGATAAGCCCCTGCTGCCCCCAGGGTGCACGTCAGCCGCAAGCTGCAGCTGGAAGTACTGCTAGGGCACAAACTTGGGCCGGCTGCTGTGGGGTGCACACTTTCCAAGTATGCCTATCCTGAAGATGAATTTTTAACTTGTTGGCTTGAGCTTTTGTAATTATGGTTTATGTTAAGAAAAGGAGAGGTTTTTTTTTTTTTTCATGAGTCTACCAGTTCTTAAAATATTACATTTTATTCATTTAAAAGATATTTGTTTAACTATTTGAAAGTCAGACCAAGGGGTGATGAGATAGTTTTCATGCGGTGGCTTACCCCCAGGTGCCAGGGCTGGATTGGGTTGAAACCAGGAGCCCGGAACTCCATCCAGGTCTCCCTCTTGGGTAGGAGGGACCAGGCAGCATGCGCTGCTTCCCAGGATATGTTAAGAAGCGGGCTCAACAGCAAAGGAACTGGCTGTCCAGAATGGGGTGTAAGTGTCCCGAGTGGGGGCTCAGTGTGCTGTGCACAGTGCCTACCCCTTGAGCCAGCATTTTGATTAGTGATTACATTTAACACTGGATTATAAACTACTAATTAATGAAGTTTTATTTTTCCGAGAAGTATGTTATCTTTCATATAGAGCTATGTGGCATAACTTGTTCACCATTTAAAACTGATTTTTGAATTTCAAGTTGATTGCCTAAACCATATTTTAAAAGATTCTGACTTGGTTTTAACCCAAATTTGCATAGAAGGATGGAATTAACTGTGGTTGGTGTATTTAGAATGTTAAGAGTAGGAGTTATGATTTCTGATAAATATATATTAGCTGAATTGTTTTTATATGTCTTGTTTGGTCTTTTAGGCAGCATGAATCAGAATCAACGTCTTGATGCTATGGCTAAACTGAAGCAGTTCCATTGTAGAGTCCTCATTTCTACAGACTTGGTAAACTTCCTGTTCAGTTTGGGTGACTAATCCATCTTGACATATGTTCTATTACCATCTATACAGATTGTGTAAATGTATTTATAGTGTTATAAAATAATAGATGAATAGAATCTGGGTGTGTTGTTCAAGAATACCAGATTATTATTTGTCCAGTGCTGGTGAAAGTACTTTCTTAAAAACGTCTCTTATGGGGTTGGCACTATGGCCTCATGGCTAAATTCTTGCCTTACATGCTCCAGGATAGGATCTCATTTGAGTGCCGGCTCATATGCTGACTACGCCACTTCTCGTCCAGCTCCCTGCTTGTGGCTTGGGAAAGTGGTAGAGAATGGCCCAAAGCCTTGTACTTGTAATAACAGACCTGGAAGAGGCTCCTGGCTCCTGGCTTCTGGCTTTTGATTGGCTTGGCTTTGGCCATTGTGGCCATTTGGGGAGTGAAGCAGTGGATGGAAGAGCTTTCTTTGTGTTTCTGCTCTCTGTAAATCTGCCCTTCAATTAAAAAAAGCTTAAAAAACTCATATTTTGGCCTACTTGACTTAGTTGTACTCTACTTGAAAGGCATACAGAGACTAGAGATCGTCTGTCTGCTGATTGATTTGATTTCCTGACTGCCCACAGTAACCAAGGCTGAAAGTGGCTGGGCCGCCTGCAGCCAGGAGCCCAAATCTGGCTCTTTGACCTGGTGGCAGGAGCTCAAGCCTGCTGGCCCAGGGAGGTGGACTGGACACAGGGCTAAGATTCCTTCCTGACGTTCTGAGACAGGATGCCAGAATCCCAAGCAGTGCCATGATTGCTGTGCCTAGGGCCTACCCTTGATCAAAGGGTTTTCGTTTTGTTTTTGAAATTAGTGAATCAATAGGAATGAATTTCCTTTTCCTCCGCTCCTCAGTTTGACACTTGGTTATATATATAGTGTGCATTGGTGGCCATGTTACGGTTGCTGCAAAGAAACAATTATTGTTTTCTTCAATTCAAGACTTCCCGTGGGATTGATGCCGAGAAGGTGAATCTCGTTGTAAATCTGGATGTACCATTGGATTGGGAGACGTACATGCATCGGATTGGCAGAGCTGGTCGTTTTGGTAAAGAGAAAAGTTTAACTGCTCTAAGTGGAGGAATCTCAACGTGATGGACTTGATTGTCATTTAGTGGAAATGATTTACTGCGTATCATTCCTTCCATTTAGGTACTTTGGGATTGACGGTAACCTATTGTTGCCGGGGAGAAGAAGAAAATATGATGATGAAAATTGCCCAGAAATGTAATATCAACCTTCTTCTTTTACCAGGTATTTTATCTGTTAAATTTTGCTGTCAAAAAAAATCACTGAAGTGATAGACATACTAAAAATAATAGATAATCAAAGTGCTATGATATGTTGGGCAGTGTTCCCAAAACTATGTAAATGTTAGCCCCTTTAATTCTCACCACAGTCTTGTTAGGTTTGTACTATGGTTAACTGCTTTTTGTAGGCAAAGACACTGGGCAGAGAGGTTAAATAAAGATGTTGACAGCTGGAAGGTAGCAAGGAGAGGACTTCAGACTAACCATGGCACATGGAAAACGAAAAATATTCTACTACTTACCATTTTAGTTCTGGCCTAGAAATTTGATTTTGTTCTTTGATGTAGGGGAGAGGCCTTGCTAAATTCTTTGTAACCATGGGAAAGAAATAGTAGTTTTTTGTTTGTTTTAATTGAAAACTACACAGAGGGGAAGAGAGACATAGAGGGAGATCTGTCCGCTGGTTCACTCACCAGATGTCTGCAATAGCCAGGGCTAGGCTGATCTGAAGCCAGGAGCCAGGAGCTTCTTCTGGGTCTTCATGTGGGTGCAGTGGCTCACCCTTCCAGTGCCACCCTCAGGGAGTGGAAACGAGAGCAGTTGGGACATGGACCAGCACCCACTTGGGATACTGGCATTTCGGGCTCCATCACTGTGCCAGCCCTTGCAGTGTTGGCTTTTTTTTTAAAAAGATTTGTTTTTATTACAAAGTCAGATATACAGAGAGGAGGAAGAGAGACAGAGAGGAAGATCTTCCGTCCGATGCTTCACTCCCCAAGTGAGCACAACAGCTGGTACTGCGCCGATTCGAAGCCAGGAACCAGGAACCTCTTCCGGGTCTCCCACACAGATGCAGGATCCCAAATCTCTGGGCCGTCCTCAACTGCTTTCCCAGGCCACAAGCAGGGAGCTGGATGGGAGTTGGAGCAGCTGGACACAAACTGGCATCCGTATGGGATCCTGGCGCTTGAAGGGGTGAATTAGTTGAGCCATTGCATCAGTCCCTAAATTTTTGAGATCTCTTATAAAGCTGGGTTAAGCACAGATCTGAGTATCCTGTGGATTCTAGTAGTTTCACCTTGCTAATAACACATCATGTGAGTATTTCGTATCAGTATCATGGTATCTAATGATAAAGGAACATTTGCCTTTGCTATTAGAAAAGGCAGATTTGGTCTTCGTCTCATGTTAATGGAACCCTGTAATCATGAGAGAATTGTATTCCTGTTAGACTTATGGAGGTGCCTAGGGCAGGGCTAGGTGTAAGCTGACCTCTTTGTGAGGTGAGCAAGCGATATTATCTAGTAGGAGTCTGTTTTTGTCTATAGAGTCTGTTCCGCAAAGGATTGAGAGCCTCTACTGAAGAATCCAGACCTGGGGGATTTAGTGGTATGCTTAGATGGAGTGTAAGCAACAATAGCACAGGCAAGATCTTTGTAAAATGGGAGCGTGGTGCATCTTATCTGCTCAACATGAAAACTGAGTACACTTCGGAAAGATCCGAAGGATCAGGTGGAAGCGAACTGTCAAAGCTGGATGGAGTAGGGAATTTAGAGGGCCAGAGCCCACAGAGTTTTAGAACAATTATAAGTGTCTATGTTGCATTCTTTTCATAGTCATTTGATAGATTGTTTCTCACAGTAGAGGTTTTCTTTCTACTGTTAGGGGAGTGCCTGCTCCCTGTTGCTATGTAGGATGGGAGATTTAGCAGAAGTTGTAATATTTCCTGCTTGATAAGCTTCTGACTTTGCTGTCATCAGTAGTGAGGTAAAGGGGAGGGGCTGGCAAGGGGTCGTGGAGAAAAGGTGAGAGAGTGGTTACAGACTTGTACATCACTCCAAGAATGAGCTCTGCTAGAATTGGGTTAGGGGAAGAGAGTGCTTGGGAGTACAGGGTGGATCTTAATATGTTTCTTAGGCAAATATCTATTGCAGAATTGCTTAGATGTTTAGCAATATTGTTAAGTTTCTTACAGTGTGTGTGTCATTTGCATAGTTTATTTCCTGGTATGGCTGTGGAAAATTTCAGGAAATCATTCAGAAAATGCTAATCATTTGTAACCTGAGACTTCTAATACTTTTTTTCTACCTCTTTATGTAGATCCTATTCCTACTGGTCTGATGGAAGAATGTTTGGATTGGGATGTAGAAGTTAAAGCTGCTGGCCACACTCAAGACTTAGCAAACACACCTGCCCCGCCTGTAAAGAAGCAAATTCAGAGAACGGAGAGAACCTTTCATACTCCGAAGAAAGCTCCTGGTGGCCACACGGCTTCCCCTAGAAGTACTTCTGTGTCTGCGCTATCAGTCAAATCCAAAAATAACACTAAGCAAAAGCTTCCTGTGAAAAGCCACTCAGAGAGTGGAGTCGTAGAAAAGGCAGTGTCTCCACATGAAGTGGAATGTGATGCACAGCCTGGAGAGCAAATGAAGAATTCCGCTCAGGCCCCTGCGGAGAACCCCACCAGCCATCAGCAGCGGGTCAAAGAAGCGTCACCTGTGTCACTCCCCAAGATTCCCTGTCTGTCATCCTTTAAAATCCACCAGCCATGCTTGTTGTCCTTTACAGAACTGGTAGAGGATTACGAACACTACATTAAAGAGGGGTTGGAGAAACCTGTGGAAATTATCAGGCACTACACAGGCCCTGAGGATCAAACTGGGAACCCTCAGAATGGTTTTGTGAGAAATAGGATGACTGACGAGAGAGTGCCAGTGCTGGCGAGCAGTGGCCAGTCTGGAGACTCTGAGAGTGACAGTGACTCTTGTAGCTCCAGGACTTCTTCCCAGAGCAAAGGAAACAAGTCCCATCTGGAAGGCTGTTTGGATACTCAGGCAAAAGACTGGGAATTTACTCCTGCAGATGACCATGTGTCTTTGGGACAACCACTGAATGGAAATGAAGCCCCCAACCTAGAGGAATATCAAGAATCCCCTGAAATCCCACTGAAAACAAGGTATAAAGAGGGGGCTTGCCAGAGAGCGAAGCAGAGCCGGAGGAACCTGCCCAGGCGTTCTTCCCATCGATTGCACACGGAACCTCAAGAAGGTGGTTGGTACGAGAGTAGAGAACCTCATCCAGGTTACTCTGACACCTACCAGAATTATGAAGAGTACTGGCGAGCCTACTACAGGGCATGGCAAGAATACTACACGACTGCCTCTCAGTCCTATTACTGGAACGCTCAGAGACATCCGAGCTTGATGCGAGCCTATCACATGCATACCGTGTATTTACAAGAAATGATGCGAGGTAACCACTGATCACAGGCCGTGCCTGAGGACGGCAGAACGGTCAGCAGGGGATACTTTGGGAAGTAAATCCCCCATGACCTGTACTAAAATGGCATTTATTGGCATTTTTGAGGAACTCGAAAAGACTTTAGGACCTGTGTGTTTTTAGAATGTTTTCAATTTAAGCCAGATATACAGCCCTGTTTTCTTTGGTAAAGAGACTTCATCAGATTCTTCAGAATTTTTGGGATGTGGTGCTTAAGGTCCCAAGGTACTATTTTTTAAAAGCTGTCCCCAAAAGAAACCGATAGATGACATATATACTGTTGCTTACTTTCAATAAAAACAGCCAAGAGTTGCAAAACAATGTTAGCTTGTGTTTGGAGTTGTTCATAAGAAGAAGCTTGGACTGCATTTCCACTGAGGCATATATAATGCACCTCATACGGTACATATGGTACATCATAGATATATAAATATAAATTTTATTTTGGAAAGGCAAATTTACAGAGAGAAGAAGAGACAAAGATCCTCTGTCCACTGATTTACTCCCCCAAGTGGCTGCAATGGCCGTAACTGAGCTGATCTGAAACCATGAGCCAGGAGCAGCCCCGGGGTCTTCCATCTGGGTGTAGAGTTTTAAAGCTTTGGGCTGTCCTAGACTGTTTTCCCAGGCCAGAAGCAGGGAGCTGGCTAGGAAGTGGAGTAGTTGGGATACAAACTGGAGCCTGTATGGGATCCCAGCGCCTGCAAGGTGAGGACTGTAGTCAGTGGGCTGCCATGCCAGGCTCTGAGGCCTATTTTTTTTTAAAGATTTATTTTTATTACAAAGTCAGATATACAGAGAGGAGGAGAGACAGGAAGATCTTCCATCCAATGATTCACTCCCCAAGTGACCTCAATGTCCGGTGCTGCGCCGATCCGAAGCTGGAAACCAGGAACCTCTTCCGGGTCTCCTACTCAGGTGCAGGATCCTAAGGCTTTGGGCCATCCTCGACTGCTTTCCCAGGCCACAAGCAGGGAGCTGGATGGGAGGTGGAGCTGCCGGGATTAGAACCAGCGCCCATATGGGATCCTGGTGTGTTCAAGGCGAGGACTTTAGCCGCTATGCCACGCTGCCGGACCCCTGAGGCTTTTTTTTTTTTTTAAGATTTATTTTTATTATTTTTTCATTGGAAAGGTGGATATACAGAGAGGAGAGACAGAGAGGAAGATCTTCCGTCCGATGATTCATTCCCCAAGTGAGCGCAACGGGCCGATACTATGCCGATCCGAAGCCAGGAGCCTCTTCTGGGTCTCCCACGCGGGTGCAGGGTCCCAAAGCTTTGGGCTGTCCTCGACTGCTTTCCCAGGCCACAGGCAGGGAGCTGGAAGGGAAGCGGGGCTGCCGGGATTAGAACCGGCGCCCATATGGGATCCCGGGCGTGCAAGGCGAGGACCTTTAACCACTTGCGCCACCGCGCCGGGCCCTGAGGCATATTTTTATAGAAAATTGTAGCATGACAGATGAGAGACTCTGTATTCCTTTCAGGTTGAGGCAGGAAGGCATAAATACTGCTTTAGATTGTCCCAAAGGGTATTTGATTTGAAGTTACTTCTAGTAAATATGTTTCTGGTAAAAACAAACAGCTACACATCAATCTTGAATGACTTGTCTATGAGATTATAAAAACTATTAATAGCTAGGGGTGACATTTATATTGCTCAGGTAGAGTAGCAGTCTTCATCTTCGTTGTTTCCTGGAGCGTTCTAAGAATCTGATGAAAGTTACAGCGTGATCCTAGCCAATTTTTAGTTAACACAATTTTGAAGGTAGTCGGGGTTTCAGACCTTCTGAAGCCCATCTAGCAAGCCCAAGTTAAGGCCTGACTTAGTCTGATGGAAGGTTGTTTGGTAGGAGCTGGAATTCATTATGTTCAGGTTCTTCCCACATTATGTCGTAATTTGCATTTTGTAGAAGTTTTTCCCAGTTTTTATTGTTAACATCAAAGGGAAGCTCATTTTTTTGAGATGGTGTATCCTATATACATTGAAATTTTGAAAAAAGCAATTGCAAGTTCTGTATTTGCTTTGTTCTCTGGAATTCCTTTTATGATTAAGCTTTTAGTTTCCAAACTTTTTTCTGTAACTGGATTTTTAAATGTTTGTTACATAGGTGAGAGGGTTGCAGATCCAGGTAGATCTCTGGGTGGGTTTGTTGGGATGGGAAGGGATGGGGTGGGGGAAGATGGATGAGGGAAAAGGCCCTGCCCTCCCACCTCTGACCACAGCAGGGTGTGGAGGCGAGTGCATGTTGTACCACTCCCGGCTGCCAGGTCACATTAGTGCCAGGACACAGAGATAGCCCTCACATTTTGTTCCAGGGACCCTAATAGGGAAAAGAATGTCCTGAGGTTGTTGCTTAAGTCATCTTGGTTGTTCTGAGATGGTGTTGGCTTTGTCGCACCAGGTATGAGTGCTTGGTGGAGAATTTGACATTGTTCTGCCTGCTCTTCTTTCCATCTTTTGGGGAGGCACTCAAAGTCCTCTGTTGAATCAGGGAGGCTTGTCCTGTCTCATGTGCATTCCGGTACATTTGTTTTTCTTACCTGGAGTGAGCAACAAGGCGGCCCAGTCCCACAGCATGAGCTCCAAGGCCAGATCAGAAACCCATGTGGTTGGGTGGAGTGGATCCATCTGGCTGATTACTAAGAGCCCTTACTGTGTTGGTCCCCAGACCCGGTTCTTACATGTGCCACGTGACTCCAAGAACCTCAATCAGGCCCCTGCCCAGACCTGGCCTCCCGCGCATGCCAGGGGTGCTGTGGCAAACTGGATTTTTGGTGAAAGGCCCCTTAATGTGTAGAGATGAGAAGGAACATTCTTTATCTACTTGTTTAGGTAGTAGCCACACTTTCCCCAGGGCATCAGCGAACACCTGCAGCCATGGTGATTTACTGTCCACGCAATGAAACGATACCAAGCTTTTATGTAACTCGTATCATTCGGTCAATGGTAAGCTTTACTTCTAGGAAGGTACTTCCAAAGTTCATGGAAAATGAAATAAGCTTATTTTGGTGCACAAAAATTGGAAGATCCTGAGAGAGTTAAAATGTGTATTACATAAAAAAAAACAAAAACAAAAACAAAAAAACTATGCCAGGACTTCAAAATTGCACCCAAATGTTTAATTCCATGTTTTATGAGCTCTTTGAAATGCCCTCAAAAATATTAATACTCCCTATGCATTGTTTAAATGAGTGAACACTGTCAATAGCAAATTCATAATTGGGTCCAGTATTTCCTTCAGCAGAGATTTTAATTGCACATTTAAATAAGATCGTTCTTCTTTCTTTTTCTAGCCTTTTCCCTAACACACAGTTAGGTTCACAGTTTGTCATTGCTAGAAGACTTTAATTAGGGCACCATCATGTCTTAATTAGAGATGAGGTTACCCAGTATTCTTAAAATTAATTGGGTTTTCTCTTCAGGTTTGCTTTTTTTCTCTATAGAAAAATAAGCTGGAGATGAGCAAATGTATAACATAAGGAAAAGCTAACTACTTCAGTTCCATTACCATTTATCAGGGAAGTTTTAACTGTTCAATTCCCAAGTAAGAGAGGTGGTGACAGTGGTGGATGTGCTATTTGTGATTTAGCTTTTCATGTGGAAGAGATTTTTTTTTATTTGCAGTTGTCAGAGTGTCCACAAAATCTTGTTAGGAACTATAGATAGTTCTGAAAAAGATCAAATGCTCTGGTACAGTAAAAAGAATACCTGTCCTGGTTTAGACTCTACTGAAATATTTTTTCCTATCTAAAATTTAATTTGAAAGCCAGGAAAGAAGAGGCAGATTTTCTATCTGCCAAATCACTCCTCAACTGCACCCAACAGCCAGGACTGGGCCAGCCTGGACCAGGGCCCCGGGACAACATCTGGGTCTCCTGCTTCGGTGACAGGGACCCACAAGCTTCACCCACCATGGCCTGCTGCTTCTCAGGTTACACAATGGAATAAAGCTGGAGCAGGAGAGGAGCTAGCCGAGACTCCAGCCAGGCACTCTGATGTGGGGTGTGTGTGTTCCAGGTGGCATTCTAACCATTGCACAGGCCCCCGCCCCTACTTCAGGGGCATTCTGACCTGGTACTCACGGCCCGGTGTTCTCATCAGCGAAACGGAGTCTGCACTACAAGGATTTTCCACTTCCAAGATGCAATTACCACATGACTCATACTGGAGAAGAAATATCCTCTAATTAAGCAAAAGAATAATCAGATTTAATATAGAGAGGCTTTATAAATCTAGGTAATTTAGTTGAAGCCTAGGATATATTGATTAAATGAATTTCCAAATGCTTTAAAACAATACACTATCAATATTTATATTAAGCTTTAACTTGGATTAGATTTGTGGTATTAACATACAGATCTTTCCTTGTACAATTCTGATTTAGAACATCAATATTAATTCCTTTAATTAAAAGTAGTTTCTAGAGCAGTTGAAGCAGTAACATTCACCAACCTTTTAGAAACATATGGTTTAAAGGTAAACTCAATCCCTGAATATTACAAATAGTTGAGCTTGAATTACAGTGTTTGTAATTAATGATAGTTGAAATTTTAGGGTTTCTTTCCCTCCCCTTAAATAATATAAATATTTGTTAGTCTCTAAAAATAAGGTTATATTTTTAATATTCACAGTTCTAGTTGGTTCTGGATATTGGGAATCCATCATGAGGTTATCCTCACTTTGACGGAATTTTAATATTACCTATGTGAACAAGTGAATACGTCCCACTTGATGGTTTTTAATTGCTCAACAGGCACCTAGCTTCCAGTTGCTTTCCACCAGATTATTGAAGCTGTGGGTCTCTAGTGACACCTAGTGGGGGATAAAGATGTGAGCAACCATTTTCTGCTGTCTAAGCTTCGGGCCAGACTGCAGGCAGCATTTACTTTTGAGTTTTCCTTTTGGTTTAAATGCAACTTAAATGCCTCAGCAGAACTTGTCCTGATAGATACAAGCAGATTTTCTTTCTGTAGTACTGGGTTGGCCTAAAACAAAGAAACAAAAAAACACTACTGACAAATGGAATCGCACACTTAGCTTTTACATGTTTGCCAACTAGGGAGCATCTAGAAGTACAGTTGCAGACTTCGGTAAGGATTGGGGAAAAGGGGTCACAGAAAAGAGCATGGGATGATCGGACCTTTAAGTACTCCGCTAACGTTCACAGCTCGACTCCAGCAGGGTAGAAAGCGGCTTCGTTCAAATTCCAATGTATAGTGGTACCTTTGGAGGGAAGAACTGGCACTAAAGAACATTCATAGTCACTTTAGAGTTTGTGGCACGTAATCTGTTTAATCCAGATTGGATACATCGGGT